CAAAGCTCTCTCCTGTTAGATACGGGTGTGTTATGTATCACGTACAAATTGTTCGCACACACACCCCCTCACGCACACAACGTACACACAAATAGGCTGGCTGTTGTCTGCGGGAGGAGTGAGTGTTCCAAAGTATGAGGTAGTGGGGCGAGAAACGATGCTGTTTCTAAACGCGTATGATTCACAAACCGCGGAAGAATGCATTCATCTCAACGGCAGCGGTGGGTCAGCTGAATGTCACGTGTTGGCGTCGTTAGTGTTGTTTTCATGTGCCGCTCAACGCACACACATATGTATCTACACACACATGTATCAACATACACGCACACACACACACACACACTCAATCACACACACACACATACACACACACATACACACACTCAATCACACACACACACATACACATACACACACACACACACACACACACTCAATCACACACACACACACACTCAATCACACACACACACATGCAGGGGACTGGCGCGGGTGGAACAACACGGGCGTTCTGTTCAACTTTGCCATATCCAGCGGTCGTCTGCATCGGCCCCTGTGGGTGGACGAGGCGTCCGAAACATGCGAGCGGTCCGCCGCCTGGCAAGTGCGCAAGATGCGTGATGGCGGGCCTGTCGTTGCGCTGTACGGCGGTGCCGGTGTGAGCGCCATCGGCGTGTTTGACGCGGACGTGGACTGTCCGGCGCTACTGAAATCCCTAGAACGGCACAACGCGCGCCTGCCACCCAAGGGCGAGTTCACGGTGCCCGCATTCGGCTGTATGGCGCAGCGCCACAACGTCGAATCCTTCCATTACGACCTCCTCTCTTCACGACTACAGTGGACAATCACCGCCGTACGTGTCTGCATGTGTGTGTGTGTGTGTGCAAGCGTATGCATGTATACGTGCGTGTGTATGTGTGAGCGTGTGAGGGTGTGAGGGTGTGAGGGTGTGAGCATGTGTGGGTGTGTGTTTCTCGAATTGCTGCTCATGCTTAACCCACACCACTCACTCACTCGCCACCACGACCACGACCACAGGTGAACGGCATGAGCACGTTCCGGGACGTGCAGAGCTGGCCGCGTGTTGAAATTGCGGGGAAATGGAGTCGTGACGCGGACAAGAGCTGGCTGCGATTCTCAGACCGCCGACACTCACAAGCTTTCAGCAATAGGGTCGAATGCGAGTGTGTGTACACACACACCACCACCACACACACACACACACACACACACACACACACACACACACACACACACACACACACACACACACACACACACACACACACACACACACACACACACACACAGACATACAGACACACGCCCGGCTGACGTAATCGAACTTTCCCCCTTCTTTCGCTCTGTGTTGTGTTACATCCAACTACTGTTGATCTCGTTAAGGTGTATTGGTTGCTGCGCACACGCGCGCATGCACACGCCAGCTCTGCTGCTTTTCTTGTCTGCTACAAACGAAACGAGTGTGTACAGAATGATGGGCAAAACTACGCATGTACACTCAGTGGTAGACGAATTGGGCAAAGTAAGGGAACACAACAAGGTTCATTGTGGCAAACAAGGGGGGGGGGGAAGCACACAAACAAGGCCCATCAACACGCAACCCACCAAAGCCAGCAGATTCAATCGAGTAGGAGAATTTCAATGCTCCCAGTTCATCTCCGTTTCCACACACACACACACACACACACACACACACACACACACACACACACACACACACACACACACACACACACACACACACACACACACACTCATACACACAATCTCTCTGTTTATTCACACCTAGCTAACTTGTCTAACGCTCCATCCAGCACAGCACACCAGCAGCTGGCATGGTATGTGTGCGTGCGAATGTGCTGACATGTGTTCAGACGAATGTGATGCGCGTGCCGTCACCGTCATCGCCGTCCATAGACTGAAGTGGAAACACCACCTCATCCTGAACGCGTGTGTATATGCGTGCGTGTATGTGTGTGTACATCATCGTGAGAACAGATCGAGTCAAGAGGAAACAAAACGAGAAGAGCTTCCAATCAGAAGCATGCAAGCAAGCAAACTCACAATAAACACAAACAAACAGCGACACAAACAAGCAAACAACGACACAACCAAACAACCAAACAAAGAAGCAAGCACAGAACAACACACACACAGACAGACACAGACACAGACACAGACACAGACACAGACACAGACACACACACACACACAAACACAACACACAATGACATGCTCCTCACCGGGTCGCCATCAACGGATACGGGGACGCGCCACGGCCCCGGTCGACTTGATCCCCGAACACTATTGCCACGTCGACCGCTGCTGCGTCTGCTGCTGTTGCTGGTGCGACGCCGCAGCGAGTGGGACGATGACGACGACATCGACGCAAGCACATCATCACCGCCACCATCACCACCGCCGCGACCATCACCACCACCATCACCCGAATCGGCGTCCCCTGCGACGGAGGCGCGTGACGATGGTACGCTGGTTGCGGACGTGGCTGAGGCGATGCTGCCGGCCGTGCGATGTCGTGGGATGTGTGCAAGCGGAGCGACGTGAGCTGGCAGGAAGTCAATCGATGACGATGCGTTGGACCTGCGCGCTCGCTCCCTTGATGGCGACAATGGTAGCGATGATGACGGCTTGATGCTGTTCTTTGGTGGCGCGTGCTGGTGTGCGATTGCTTCGTGTTGCTGAGTGGAAGGGTATGACGTTGTCGTTGTTGTTGATGAGGATGGGGAAGCAGCAACCTGTGTTACATCATCGCCACGCGAACTCCCATGTCTTCCATCTTGAATGTTGCCGGCGTCGTCGTCGTTGCCGTCGTTGTTGTCCTTCACCTCCTCCTCGTCTTCATCTTCATCATCAAACACATACTCACCACCATCTTCGTCGTCATCATCATCATCGTCACCAGAGCTGTCGAGTGCAATGTCGCTGTCACGCCTGCGCCCGGCAACGCGTAAGTTCGCACCACGCAGCAGCACATCCACGCCACCACCATCGTTGGCGGCGGTGGCAGTCGCAGCAGTCGAGACTGCCCCAATGGTCTCATTTGTGTCGTGCTGACTCTCTTCACGCAATTCAATTACTCCTGCACCTTCCTCCTCCCCCTCCTCGTCATCATCTTCATCGTCTTCATCGTCTTCATCCTCATCGTCTTCGAGGAACATGCTGTTGTGCAGGGCGTCTCCACTCAGCGTCAGCCTGCGAGCGCGCATGTGTGTGCGAGCGCGCATGTGTGTGCGAGCGCGTATACGTGTGTTAACAGGGCGGTGTTGGCAAAGTGAGCCGCCGGCACGATTGAACAAGGTGTCTCCAAAGCATATGCAGGTGCACAGACGCGCAGAAAAGCAAATTGACAGACAAGCAACATGGTCACACAGTCACACAAACACAGACACAGGTTCAGACACACACACACACACACAGACACAAACACAGATACACTCGTTTTGTCCCCTCGTTTGTCACGTACAGGTATTCCCGCTCGTCCTTCTCCAATCGCTCCAGAAACTTTTCCTTGCGCGCAATCTCCAATTCAATTTGTCGCCGCCGCCGCAACAACTTCTCCAAGTGCGCCTCGTCCCGCCCTTCGTGTGTCGTGTCATCTGCAACAGAGACAACAAGGCCAGATGTGCTCGTTTGGCTTTCGCTCAGCGATAGCAGCTTGCGTACACGTGTGGCCGCTGCTGGTACCTTCACCTCCTTTGCGCTCGGCGCCATCAGCTTGTTGTCTGACAGCGCAAGGGCCTGAACACACACGCGCACACAGAGATGTTAGTGACGTGCTAACCGCCACCCGCACACAAGTCATTGCGTGTGTGTGTGTGTGTGTGCGCAAGTGATGGTGACGTGTGCAACGCCTGTTGGCCGGATTCTCGCCGTCACATCATGTCCTGCAGCCTCACAAACGTACATACACATGCCTGCATGCAAAGCACGACCAACCTCAATCTTCTGCGCCATGCCGTGTGCTGCACTCGTCCGTCGGCCCTTTCGCGGCGTCGGCGACGACACCTGCACACACACACACACACATGATGATCATGGAAGGTCAGACGTCGTGTGTATGTGTGTGTGTTTAGCAATGCACATTCATTGGGAAACATGCTTGTGTTTGCTTCACTGACATTAAAATGTCGCTTCTGCTCCCGACACGTGGCCACCATCGTCTTTGCATATTGCGTGTTGTGCGTTTGCCACACTGCAACAACAAGCAGGGGACGCGAAGTGAAGCAGCAGCAGGAGAGCAGTGAGCTGGCATAAAAGGTATCTGTGTACGTGCACGCATTTGCATCTCTGTGTTGGGCTGTGTGCAAGCGGGTGTGAATGCTCAGTCACGCATCACACCACAAGTCAGCACACCACCAGATATGGACATGGTCATTCACAAGAAAACAGAACCCATGCATACACGCATGCAGACCGATTGTGATGCGAAGGGGGCGGCTGCTGTCGTCTCGTCTGCAAACGCACAATCGATTATGGCGATTGTGGTGTTGGTGATGAGGAGCAAAAGAGTTCGGGGTTCATTGCAGGGCAACGCAGCACGTGAGCACACAGGAAAACCGGGAAATGGCACACACACACACACACACAAACACACACACAAACACACTACACAACACACACACACACACTACACTACACTACACAACACAACACACACGCACACACTACACTACACTACACTACACTACACACACACACACACACACACACACACACACACACACACACACACACACACACACACACGTAAACAGTCGAGAGCACAGCCACGACAGCACACATTGTGCGTACCTCTTGAGGAGGGTGATGCGACGGCCGGAGTGCTGCGAACCGGTGGAGCCGCCGCTTAAACTCAACGACGTCGACCGCGACGGCAGCGGCGCGGGGGACGCGGCCTGATGGTGATGGTGGTGGTGGTGGTGATGATTGTGGTGTTGAAGTCCGAGGACACCGTTGTGTGTGTGTGTGTGTACGTGTACGTGTGCGTGTGTGTGTGCGTGTGTGTGAGCGTGTGTGTGTTTGTGTACGTGTGTGTGTGTGATGGCAAATGATGGGCGATACTCGATGAATTATGCACTATACACCCTGGCAAGCGAGCAGCACCTGTGAAGGGAGCAGCTCAATGACAAACTTGGACTTGGAGTTGGTGACATTGTGCACGGCATCCCACGTGTACACCTGCGTGCATGGGCGATGGCGAATGGGGGCAAGCAGGAAACGAATATCAGGAAGCAGCGTATTGGGTACAACACAGCGGCAAAGCAAAGAGATGGACACAAACAGACAACAGACAGACAGACAGACAGACAGACACACACACACACAGACAGACGCACATATTCACACACACACAGACACAAACACACAAACACACAAACACACAGACAGACGCACATATTCACATGTACATACAATTACACGCACACATGGCAGCGCACCTGTCTCGGGGAGTTTGGGTTTGAGAAGTAAAACTGGCTGATGCCACGAGGAGAGACGCCCAGACGCCAGGGAACACCGCTCTTGTCTTTGACGTCAAAGAAGTGCATGCCATACTGGGGGAGGGTCTGTGCGATGGTCATGAAGGTGAGCACAGCGCTAGAGTCATCCATCCCTTTCAGTGTCTTGTACTCCGCGGAGACCTTGGACGCACACGTCTCCAGCGATGAGCCCTGCGCAACGAGAACCTGCAGAATGCACGACGTCCGTGGGCGTGTTTGGTTGCATGTGCGAGTGGGTGAGGGGGTGAAATGAAGGTTGGACAATAGGAGGACGCGCATATGAGGAGAGTCACGAGGAGGGTGAGACAACACACACACACACACACGCACACGCACACACACACACACACACACACACACACACACACAGACAGACAGACACAAGCGGTCATGGCTGTACCTCGTCTGGGATGAGTTTCTTGGCATCGAGATGGTGACGGGTTGCGGATTCCGAGATGAAATCGCCCTCAATTGCCTGCAGGCACGAGACGCCTCCATGTGAGTGCTCGCGGCCAACGGCGACCACCGCACGGATACAACGGCAAGACATGGCACAAGAGTGAACAAGTGCGTGTGTGCACTCGTGCGTGTGTGTTTGTTCGTGCGCACTCTTGTGTTTGGTTGTGTGTGCATTCTTGCGTGCGTGCATTCTTGTTGTGTTGTGTGTGCGTGTGTGTGCGTGTGTGTGCGTGTGTTCGCGCACCTGCAGGGCGATGGCGGCCAGCGTGAATGCAACATCGCTCTCGCACGACAAATTGCCTGTGGAGATGAGCCGCAGCACTTGTTGGAAGAACAACTTCTGTGTTGTCAAATTCTTCACCTGGGTGATGGCATCGGTGTACACCCTGGCAACAAACACAGGTACAGACAGACAGGCAGACAGCACACGGAGAGACAGGCACAAACACACAGACGCAGACACACACACACACACACACAGACACAGAGACACACAAACACACAGACACAGACACAGACACAGACACACACACACGCATTCACACAGATACCCAAGATACCCACAGACACACACACGGTACATGGTGAGTTGGTTGCGGCTCAAGTGCACTGCGCTCATACGATGGTGCTGCTGCTCTGCGTGACATCACAGCAGCCGTTGCGTACTTGATGGCAAAGGTGAGCTGCAGCGTCGACTTGGCTTTTGGTACTTGATCCAGGACTTTGGACTTGAGGTCCAGCCAAATGTTGAGGCCACTCTCTGGATCGGTGTAGTACAGGCCAAAGTACTGCTTCTCTTGCAAGGAGTACTGTGATGCGATCAGGTCAAACAGCTCTGACCCATGCAAGTTGTGCTGAATACCAAACACAGACGCACAGAATCACGTGAGAATATCCGTTTGATGCCAAGGAGTGCAATAGTAATGACACAATCACCGGCCGCGCATGCACACCATCCACACCACATGCACAAGTTTACACCACACAATCACACACTCACGCACACGCACACACACACACAAGTTTACACCACACACATACGCACACACAATCACAAACACACCCATGCACACAAGTCACATCTGCAGCCCTTGTTACCTGGATGTTGAGGGTGCGGTATGACCCATCAAGCATCTGCACGCGACACTTGCGCTCCGCCATCGTGGTTCTCGTTGGCGGCTTCCAACGGCTCCCACAAATCGCCAACCAAGCAAAAGCACACACACACACACAAACTCACGCACCCACACTCAAGTACAAACACACACGCAGCTGTATCTTCCCTTTGCTCGGGATCTTCGTCACAGCCCGCAGGCCACACAGCCTCGTTGCAACTTCACAGCCGCAGGATTCACAGTCACACCCGCAGCCTCTCTTCACACACACACGCCAACAGCACACCTCTCTCGCTCGCTGTTTTGTTTGGTATGCGGTGGAGCGGTTGCGGAAAATGTGTGGAAAACATTCGCCAATCGCCCAAACTGAGACAGCCAACCGAGACAGCAACGATGCGCTTCAACCAACGTTTGGCTGCAGGAAGTGGCGTGGCGGTGGTGGTGTGCCTGCTTCTGCTCGTCACAGTGAGCACATACAGAGGTAAGGAAGCAGCTGCTGGATGGGGCTCCATGTTGGCTGTGTGTGTGTTGTGTGTTGTGTGTTGTGAGTGGGCATGTGTGTGTGTGTGTGTGTGTTGTGTGTGTTGTGTGCGGGCGTGTGTGTCGCGGGTATACCACATCAAGTTTGCACGTGCTGGCGTGTGCCACACACACTGTCAGTGGCAGTGTGGACAAGCTGAAGCGTGGATGAATGACTGGCATGCGTCCATCTCACTGCGTGGGGTATGCATGCATGCTTGGTGTATTGTGTTGGCATCAAAGGGATCGCTCGCCGGCGCAGACAGGTGGATGTGTTGCAGGTGCGTCTGCATGATGCAAACGCGACAAAGCAGTGGGCTGAGCTGCAGATGCGCTCCATGCGACAGGAACTGGAGCATGCCCGCGCCTCCCACAAGGAGCAGTTGCAGCTGTGCGAAACCAGCACCAAGCAGCGGCAGCGACAACTGGAGACCCAAGCGCAAGTGGCCAAGCTGGAGGCGAGGCACTCGGCAGCTATGTTGAGGACGTGCACCAACACGACGTCCCAGCTTGAGCACGAGCTGGCACAAATGAAAGCGCAGCTAACCACCTACGACAAGCAGCTGCAGGAACACCGAACACAGGCACGCAGCCTGCGAGATGAGCTGGACGAAACGAAGCAGCAGCTGCGAGCAGAGCGCGAGAAGGCTGCGCGCATGCAGGAAGAACTTGCATCCGTGCAGCAGGAGTGGGAGGATGCTTTGCACGAACGAAACAAACGCCAGCGCGACAAGCGACAGCGCGAACAAGAACAGGAGGAAGAGGAGCAGGCAGCAGCAGACCAGGACCGCAAGGATCGCAGTGACAGTGGCTCTTGCAAGGCCAAGTTGACCAAGGCCACCGACAGCTTGCACCGCGCCGTGATGGGGTGGGAGGCGTGCAAGGAGGATATGGCTGTCTTGCAGGCCAAAATCGACTCCAAATCACGTACGTGGCGTGTCCTCCAGCTCTGTATGGGGAGCTGTGCCATGGTGATTACGCGCTGTGTGGTGATTCCACTGTGTGGGTTTCAACTCAACCTTTTTTTTTTTTTTGTTCAACTTCATGTCATGCCATGGCTGACGTGTGTATATGTGTGTGCATCGTGTCTGCAGGGGCGCTGGTGGAGGCGTTGGATGTTGCGCACACGCTGAAGACGGCGGTGGCGGCGCTTAGGGCACGGCGCGACCAGCACGACGGAGGCGAAGGGGGTGTGGAGGGTGTGGAGGGTGTGGAGGGTGTGGAGAAGCAGGTGAAGAGTAGGGAGGAGGAGGAGGAGCATCGGGAGCAACAGGAAGAGGTGCAAGGGTATGGGGCTGGTGGGAAGGAAGAAGAGGAGTTTGAAGAGGAAGGAGACGAAAAACAGGCTGAACGGGGATACGATGAAGAGCAAGGGGGAGAAGGAAAACAAGGAGGAGAAGGAGAACAAGGAGGAGAAGGTGGTGGTGTTGATGGAGGAAAAACGGACAGGGAGTGGAGAGACGGGCAGGTCGGTGAAGACGTCGATGCTGAGGAGGGAGACCAGGAGCAAGGGGAGGAATGGCAGCAGCAGGCAGACGAGAACCAAGTCGACAGGAACAAGCACGTCAGTGAGGCGAAGGAGCAGCCGGAAGGTGATGGCGGTGGTGGTGGTGACGGTGATGGTGGTGGTGACGGTGATGGTGGTGGGCAACAGACAACTGCGACACCCGTCCCCGCGCACGAGGAAGAAGGAGAAGAGGAGGAGGAAGGACGACAGAGGGTGGATGGGGACGGGAAAGCCGCCAGCGACAACACTGCTGTCGTTGATGGCGACAGTGAGGAGGAGCAAGCAGCTGAACGAAGCGCTCATGAACAACAGCAGCAGCAGGAGTGGGAACAACAGCAGGAGTGGGAACAGCGGGAACAGAAGGAACAGCATGAGGAGGAGGAAGAACAGCAACAAGAACAGCAACAAGAACAGCAACAAGAACAGCAGTATCAGCAACAACAACAGCAACAACAAGAGCAGTATCAGCAACAACAACAGGATCATCAGCATCAGAAGCAGGGGTATCAAGGACAGGAAGAGAATGATCGAGTGGCATTCGTGCCAAGAGACGAAGAAGAGAAGGACGCTCGCATGGACAAGCAACAGCCGCGCCCTGATCGTGTCCACGGTGATGGTGGCGACTTTGATGCTGGTGGTGGCGGTGCTGGTGGTGATGGGAGGCCGTTCGTGGTACGTCGTCGTGATGTCATCGACGATGGTGGTGACAGCAGACACGCGCAACACCACCAGCAGCAGCAACAACAACAACAACAACAACATGGCGAACAACAACAACATCATCAAGAACAACAGCAAGATCAGCAGCAGCAGCAGGGGTGGCGAGAGCGTGTGGGTATGAAGAAAGCAGTGTTTGCTGCTGGTGTTGATGGTGGTGCAGATGGTGGTGTTGATGGAGATGTGGGGCAGAGGGGCGGGCAGGGTGCTGGAGTGCAGCGAAGCCACGATGAAGTGGATGGTGACGAGCGACGCGACGACGAAGGGGAGAAGCCTGTTGCGCGCGGCTTTGGAGCGAAGCAGAGAGCACCAATCCACGACCGTGGTGGTGGTGGTGATGGTGGTGGTGATGGTGGTGGTGGTGATGTTGATGGTGGTGATGGTGGTGGTGGTGTCGTTCGTGATCAGCAGCAGCAGAGGGACGAGTGGGGCAACAGCTTTGCGCAATTCAAGTCACAGAAGAAGAAGTTACGAGGAGGAGGAGTGGGGCGCAACCACGCTCGTGTTGAGAAAGCAGGTGGTGGTGATGGCATGGGAAAGCGTCGGCGTGGTGATGACGATGATGCAGGCAGGGTTGTGGATGTGCAGTGATGTGATACGATGGCAAGGGACCAGTTATGCAACAACCCCCAATGTGGCGCCCCCCTTTTTGATTAGAAGTAAACGTTGACTGAACCTAGGCTTGTCTATTGCTGGTGACGGTGTGTTATGACGTGGCGCGAACACGCAAAGAACTGCACATGTTCAGTCAAGAAGAGTAGAACAAGGGCGCACACACAAAGATACACACACGCCTCTGCACGTAGGCAGATGAACACACACACACACACACACACACACACACACACACACACACACACACACACAATCCACTTTAGAGTTCCTGGATGAGCGGTTGCTTCCTGTGTTCGTCATCACCACCAGTCCCGCTTCTCCTCCTCTCCGCCTCCGCCTCGTCCGCTGTCGCTGCTGTCGCGCTCCTGAGTGTCGATGCGAGCGATGTCGGCAGTACTTGACGCTGCTCCAGTGACGTTGGTCCACGTGTTTGTGACGATGATGAAGAGGATGGTGTTGTCGTTGCAGGTGTTGGTCCCGGCTGCGTTCCGCTCAGTATACCACCATCGCTGTTGCCAATCACGATATCACCACCACCAACACTACCATCTGCACCACTCGTACGCCCAACAGCCTCGTTGCCAGCAACTGTAACAGCATCGCTGAGCGCGGTGAGCGTTTCCTTCACATACGCCAGGCCCTTGCCCTTCTCCACGCCAGCTACCACGTCCATCCACCAGCAGGAGAGGAACCACAGCTTCCGCCGCGCCCGCCGCGCACTGCGAACGAGCGCACGCGGTGCAGCTGAAGGCACTGGGAGCACTGCCCTCTCACGTTCGCTCTCCCTTGGCGGTGTCGCTATCGTGCTAGGTGTCTTCCGTGTCGTGTGAGCGTTGTCTGACATGTGCTGCTGTTGTTGTTGTTGTTGTTGTTGTTGTTGTTGTTGGTGTTGTTGTTGTTGTTGTTGTTGTTGTTGTTGTTGTTGTTGTTGCTGTGTGCCGCGCCTTTCACCAACGCCACTGTCACCACCACCACTGCTGCTGCTGCTGGGTGAGTGCTTGTGCTTGTCTCGGGAAGCAATGACAGTGTCAAACAACAGCAGCGCGTGCACAAGTGCCGCCAACACCGTGCATGGGTGGCGCAAGATGTGAACAGTATCACTGCAGCAGAGGGAGACCGCTTGCGCGTGTGCTGCCGTTCGCGCTTCAAGCGACGTCGGTGCAAGGGGCGCCTGTGCGCGTGGCGTTTCTGGTTTCCGTCGTTGGTGGTTTTGTTGGCGTTGGTGTTGCGTGGTTGAGGAGGAGGAGGAGGAGTGGGCGGTTGGTATCGCTGTGGTGCTGTCTTGTGCTTGCAGGAGCTCCATGCTGATGTGCGTCACAGCCTCAGCTGCAGTGTTGCACACGGCGGCCGCCTGCGATAGCACAATGCTTGTCTCCAGCATGGTGGCAACAATGTCGACGGTGTGTGTTGCGGTGTCGCCGTTGTACGTGCGCAGGCTGTGTGCATACGCAAGGAGGACGTTGAGCATGTTGTACACAACCTGCGCCGCGGGCTGCTTTCCCTTGAGCACCTGCGAGATTGGTTGCAGCTTGCTCTCCTCTGCCAGCTGTCTGAGGGTGAGGGGGACGGATGGAATGACTGCAATGTCCAGGAGCTGCGTGGCTGCGTCTTGGATGAGCTGGAAGCTCTGCAAGGTCTCTGGCACGTGCTGCCACCAGGGCTGCCACACGTCGAGGCTGGAGCCAAGCAGCCCGCTCTGCAGCTGCTCCTCAAACAGGGCCCGCTGCTCCGGGGTGAGCGCCTCCCACAGCTGCTCGCAGGTGTCTGGGTCGTTGAGGTCGAGGTCACCCGCGGCCTCCACCAGGTCTCGCAGCTGGTCCAGCGCGTCACTGCCGCCTTCGCCTTCATCAAAGTCGTCGTCGTCGTTCCCATCATCATTTATTTCTTCATCACCGGTGAGGATGGTGTCGAGAGGTTGATCGCCGTCGCGGAGGCGAACGAGGATGTCGCGCATCTGCTGCCGCTCTTCCTTGGATGCGCGCTGCTCCGTGAGGCTGGTCATGACCTGGTCCTTGTAGAAGTGTTCCGAGCACTCCACGTGGCCTTCGCCGCGGTAGCACTCCAGAGAGCAGTACGGCAGCCCGCACTTTGGGCACCGGTACGCAGCAAACTGCCGCCGGCACACCCCGCACACCTTCTCCTCCATCTCTCTGAGCGGGGGGGGGGGAGCGTGAGAGCGTGAGAGAGAGTGAAGGAGAGAGAAGGGAGGGGGGGGGGGTGAGAGAGCGAGTGTATCTGCGAACGACAACCGCCACTGCTTGTGTTGTGTTCGCTGGTGATTTCGTTCGTCAACAGAAGAAAAAGAAAAAAACGGCGCCGCTGATGATGATGCGATGGTGATGACAAGGTCACAAACACTCACACGCACACAACGGTCACACACCTCAGACACGCCAACAAGAAGCAAGCCTACAAACCTACAAGCCAGGAAGGAAGGAAGGAAGGAAGGAAGGGCGTGGTTGACAGGAGGTGGTGGTTGGTTGCTAGGTGGTGAGGGGTCGTGAAGAAGGGTGGTCATGTCTAGGGTTGCCAGCGCTTGGAGCAAGGCCAAGCAACAAGTGGCCTATGCCTTCTACTGGTGAGTGTGTGCGTGTGCGTGTGCGTGTGTGTAGGGGGGCGTGCACGCCTTCTCGTCGCCGCTGTGATCACATCTCTCTGCGTGCTCACGCCTGTTTTCACTTCATACACAGGCACGGGCTTCAATGTGCATCTAGCCCCTTTCAAGTCATCACAACAGCGACAATCGCCGCCTTGTTAATGAGGTGTGAGCGTGTGGAGATGTGTGTGCAGCGGGTGGAGCCTCATACGTCAATCTACGCCCCCTTGCCTGTGCCTCAATTATCCCCCTCACCCCGTCGGTCTGCTTGTCCTGGTTGTGGTGGATGCAGTCTTCCTGCCATTCCATCCTTGCAAGGCGCATGGCCTGCATGGCGGTAGGTCGTGATGCGAGGCATGCATGTGTGTGTGTGTGTGTGTGTGAATGTGTTTATAGTGTGTGTATGTGTGTGGATGAGTGTGTACGTGTGTGGATGTGCGTGCGTGTGTGTGCGTGTGTGCAAGTGTGTACAAGTGGCTGTGTGAATCTCTCTGTACACATGCGTGTGTGCACACCTACGTCTATGCGTGTGCGTGTGCGCGTGCCAATATGCACCAGCTGAATCGATGCCTCCGCTGTTGACCACTCTTGTCCCCACTCCGTAGGGCGGAGGTGTGGCACGAGCCTGTGGCGGATCCAGCCCATCCTGGCGCCATCCACTTGGACGCACCACCATCGTGGGTCAACGAGGGCACGCTTTCCGCTTTGGAGGTCATGCAGTTTCATATCACCGTCCCAGATGCAGAGAATGCAATAGCCGCGAAGACACTGCGCCTCGCAGCCAAGGACCTCCCAACGTACGGCGCGTGTGTGCGTGTGTGCGTGCGTGTGTGCGTGTGTGCGTGTGTGCGTGCGTGCGTGTGTGCGTGTGTGCGTGTATGCGTGCGTGTGTGTCTGTTCGGCCTGTTGTGTGCACTTGAACTTCTTGCAGCGACTGTGTGTTCACACACACATGCACACACATGCACACACACACGCACGCGCACACGCACACGCACACGCACGCACGCACACACACACACACACAATCACACACACACTGCACACACGTGCCCTTCTTCCTGCTGCAGCTTCCTACAAAGCGAGCTCCAGCACAGCAACACGGAGGCATATGAGCAGTGGCAGCGCGAGTGTGTCCGGGACGAAGCGGCCAACGAATGCGTCGTCTTGCACCCGCACATGCATCCCGTGTACACAACTCCTGGCTCTGCCACAGCCGCACACACGTGGCCTGGTATGGATCTGATGTCATCGCCCATTACGCTTTCACTTCGCGCCGGTGACGCCCGCTTCCCGTTCACCCCGACACCAGGTAATGCAAGCGTGCTGTGTGTGTGTGTGTGTTTTGTTTGATGGTTAAGGTTCATGCTGCCGCATTCATGCGTCACTGGCATGAGGCTTGTTCATTCGTCACACGCAACCAACACGTGCACCATCACAGATTTGGCGGGAAAGAACTGCAAGCGGCAGCGCTCCCATCTCCACTGCGATGCACTCGTTGTTTCCCTCATCTTGCACAACAGGTGCATGCTTGTGCATGTGTTTGCATGCATATGTGTACATGTGCTATTGCGTTTGCAATTCGTGGAAAGATGCGCTCTTGTTTCTCACACATGCGACGTGCCGGTGCTCTCACGTATGCACTCACTCCTCACACACACTCACACTCGCGCGCACACACACATACATACACACACTCGCACACACTCGCACACACACACACTCGCACGCACACACACAATTGCATGTGCAACATTTACACACAATCGCACAACCGCACACACACATGCACACATCAAATTCCCAGCACCACATCGGAGTCGCTCCAACAGCAGCTGTTGCAGTCGGTCCTTCAGCGCTTTGCAGACGTCATTGCAGACACGACCCCGCGCCCCGGCGTCACTACACGCCTCGCATACGAGCGGCGATCTCTCAGCGTACGGTGTGCTTGTTCTGGCTGTTGGCATTGAGGATGCTGGTGCTGCCTTTGCATTGCGTTTCACTATGTCTGCAGTCTCCTTCTCACACCCCCTCTCACTCTGTCTCGCACTCACACTCACACACGTGCACCTTTACGAACTGCTCGCCTTTTGCTGCTGCTTGTGCGTGGCAGACGGTTGAGCGTGGGCTGTTGGTGGTCGCGTACATTGTTCTCCTCCTCTACATGATCAACAGCGTCAGCAAAGTCGAGGCTGTCATGGTGCGTACTGCACATGCACACATGCGCACATACACAAGCACACACATGCACACACCCACACACACACCTATAAATGGTGCCAGCTTTGTGTGACTGTCAAGTACCCCTGTGTGTCTGTCACGATACCTTGCAAACACACACGGCGCCCACATCCCGACGCCTGCATTTGATTGCATCATGATGACACCACTGCCAGTCGCGTGCCGGATTGACGCTGACGGCCGTGAGCATCATGACTGCGAGTGTCACCTCCGCTGTTGGCGTCTGCACATACTTTGATCTCGTCAAGAACTTTCAAGGTGCTTGATCACATGCATTTACACACGCGCACACATGTCTGCATGCGTGCACCACCTTGGAACGCACTCCTACCATCCATCACACGCTTATGCTTCACGTTATCCACACCAACCAACCTGTTGACTGCAGCGTTTGAGGTGATTCCGTTCCTGGTGATGGTGATTGGCCTGGACAACATCACCGCCATCACCTCCTCCGTCGTCAGCGCGCCCCCGACCGTCGCCGTTCGATTCCGCATCGCCCACGTGCGTTCATCTCCTCTCATGTGTGTGTGTGCGTGTATGTGTGTGTGTGTGTGCGTGTCTTTGCGTGAGCGAGTGTGTGTGCGCGCGTGTGTGTGTGCGTGTGTGTGTGTGCGTATGTGTATATGTGTGTGTGTGCGTGTGTGAGTAAAGCCTTTGTGTGTGTGCGTGCAACAAATTCACGAGCACCGCCATCGTGACCATCACGACTGCAGGGACTGAGCAACATCGGACCGCAGCTGACCGTGTCTCTCATGCAGATGGAAACTATCCTCATGCTCGGTGTGCTAGTGTGTGTGCGTGTGCTTGTGTACGCGTACGTATGTGCTGTGCTCTTACGTGCACCATGATCAATGTCATTTTACACACACCCCTCCCGTTCGTTTCTCATCATCACCACCACCATCACCCACGATTATTCATCCCTGCAGGCGCGTTCAGCCACATCCCGCAGCTGAAAGACTTCAGCATCGTCGCCTGCGCCGCCATGCTCTGTAACTTCTCCTTCCAGGTCGGAGCTGCTGCTGCTCGTGCAACACGCGATGTCTCATATTGCTCGCACTGTTCATGTTGTGGTTACCCGTTGGACCTCCCTTCGTGTGTGAGTGTGTGGTTCTGCTTCTCCTTCGTCTTCTTTCCCTCGAGTGGTGTTGCGATCCCAACGACCACCACACCTTCGTGCCATGTCCCTACTCTCCCCCAGCTCACCCCCAGCTCACCACGACCACCACGTCCACCATGACCACCCCGACCACCACCACGACCACCACGCCCACCACGACCACCACGACCACCACGTCCACCACGCCTCCGTCGACTCCCCAGGTCATCATCTACGTTGCTGTCATGTCGCTAGACATGCGGCGTCTCGAGCTCTCTGATCTCATGCGGCAGATCGACTCTGCAGACAGAACCACATCAGCCGTGCCACCATCACCATCACCATCACCGTCGTCGTCGTCGTCGTCCTCGGTGGCGCGGTCGCTTGATGTTGCTGCTCGCCAGCACGATTCCCGCGCCATTCAGGTGAGGTCGCGGTGACTTTGGTGGTATTGCGGTGATGGATACGCTGCGTGTGGTGCCATGGTCGCCTTTGCTGGTGGTTTTGTTGTGCTCTCATCGCTTGTACAACGCATGTATGCCGTGTGTCACACATTGCATGTATGCCGCGTGTCACACATCGACTAACACAACACACACATACACACACACACTCATCGACTAACACAACACACACATACACACACACACGCGCGCGCACACACACACACACACACACACACATCGTTCACACCACACGCCACACCAGAACCTGCTGCGCGGGTCTGCGTCGCGCGGTGTCGTGATCAACGCTGTGCTCGGCGTCATGTCGATGGTCGCCACAGTCCTCATCGCCGTCCTCTCTGGACGTGAGATAAACACACACACACACACACACACACACACACACACGCACACACACACACACACACACAGACACACACACACACAGACACACACACACAGACACACACACACACACACACACACACACGCACTTGTGGGTGTGGTTGTTCTTGCATGTGAATTGCAGCAAGTATGCATCTTCCCACATCACCACCACCATCATCATCCTCACCACTCCCATAATCACTGTTGTCACCTCACCATCTCTATCATCACCCAACGTCATCAGGCTCTGGCCCCCATTCGCTGGCGTCGTTTGTGCAGCCAAACACAGAGGCGGCATGGGCTGCGCTTGCTCTGGCCAACCAACCAGACACAACACGCCATTCCAACGTGATTGTCTTCCACCCCGTGCTTGAGCTGCCCGTCGCAGATGCGTTGCCCGCCACCCCGACTGCCACCGACTACATCCTCAACCGTGCGTCCCACCGCACTGGTGGTGGTGGTGTGTGTGTGGTTGTGATGGAAGGGGCTGTCGTAGTTGTGTGCATAGATGGCTGTGTTTGTGTGCTTGTGTGAGTGCTGAAGCGTTGTGGCTGACATCAAACGACCTGGACCCTCATTATGTGTATCCACATCCTCCTTGCTGCCGTGCGCGGTGCAGTGATTGGCATGGGTGGCATGCTCGACATTACACAAGCCGTTCTCGTTGCCCTGGGCGTCACCGTCGCCGTGTTTTGGGTCAGCACAAATGCACATCGCCAGTCATTGACTGCATTGTTCGCTTTTGCTTTGTTCGTGTCACTCAAACAATTACTTCCTTGCACTTCACTGACACACACACACATACACACTCAACGCACTTCACATACAACACACACACACACACACACACACACACACACACACACACACACACACACACACACACACATTGCACCGGCATTACCAGGTGCGGACGATTGTGCGGAGTACGAAGCACGCGCTGTTTGGCCAACGGGAGGATGTGGACAGCATTGCAGCCATGTCGCTGATTGACGTCGAAATCGGAACGCTCACGCACCGCGCTCGTAAGAACACATGTGCAATTGTTTGCTCTTTGCGTGTCTCCCTTTCTGCCCATCTGTCTATCTCTCGCACACACTCACAGACACATACTCAAGCACGCGCGTACACACGCTTGCACGCACGCACGCACGCACACACACACACACACACACACACACACACACACACACACACATTCACTCACGCACGCACATTCACACGGGCACATACCTGTGCAGAGCTTGAGCTGTTTTCTGTGAACACACAGCAGCAGCTGGTGGCGGCATGCTCGATGGACGGCGCTGTCTCTGTTTGGGATTTGCACACACATCGCCACCTCTGCAGTGCGTAGCATGGCATCTGCCTCATCGCTTGTGTGTTTGTGTGTGTTTGTATGTTTGTATGTTTGTGTGTGTGCATGTGTTTGTATGTTTGTGTGTGTGTGTGTGTGTGTGTGTGTGTGTGTGTGTGTGTCAGTGAATGGTTGTGTACAAGCACCTTGCTCGGCTCAATCTCCCACCCGTCTCACCCCATCCTTTCACCCTTGCCCCTTGATCTTCCCGCAGGTCTTCGTGATGAGCAAGAATCCGAAGGTGATGGTCACAGATGCATGCATACATGCACGGTTGTCCTTGTTTCTTGTTGTTTGTTCGTGAGCACGCGTGCCGCAGCACTCATTGCCGTCTTTGCTCGTGCCTCTCACTCTCTTCCCCCTGTAATGTTTGTTGCGATTGATGAAATAGACCAAGATGACCAAGATGATGAGGAAGAGGATGGCAGCGAGGACGATAACAGCACTGGTGGGCACGGTGCACACGCTGCCACCGCCACAACGGACGGAAGTGACGAGAGGAAGAAGCGGAACCAGAGCGGTCGCCATTCGCCCGTGGTTCGCGGGGACGTGCCGTGGTGCATCGCAACGTTCGCCCACTTTATTGCACTCGGCTTCAACAACGGCGTCATCGAGGTCGGTGTGTGTGTGATGTGTGTGATGTGTGTGTGTGTGGTGTGTTTGGTGTGTGTGTGCGCGTGTGTGTGTGCGCGTGTGTGTATGTGTGTGCGTGCATGTGTGTGTGTGCGTGCATGTGTGTGCATGCGCTGCCGGAAGTGAGTGTCAGAGGACGATCTTGTGCATTTTTCTGGATTGCACTGCCGTGTATGTGTGTGTGTGTGTGTGATTCCAGGGTGCGTTCATTATCATACTTCACCCCACTCGTACACATCCTCATCCCGCCTCTGGTTTGTCACCAGGTGTGGGAGCTGCATACACAATACTGCCACGTTCTTCAGCCGCCGGGAAGTCATATGCAAGGCGGGCGTCCCCCACGCGTCACGCAGGTGCCGCTGCTGCCGACACCGTGCTCTCTCCCCCCCCTCTCTCTCTCTCTCTCTCTCTCTGTGTGTGTGTGTGTGTGTGTGTGTGTGTGTGTGTGTGTGTGTGTGTGTGTGTGTGTGTGCAAACGATAGATCAGGCGACATCATGGGGTTGCTGAGCGTTTCCATCACACCTCGACCTTCAACTCACAACAGCCATCCACCACGTTTTGTCCATCCACTGACCACCGACCAACTCAGATGCTGTTCTCGGACCACCACTTGCTCGCTGCTCGCGACGACGGTGTGCTGGAGGCGTGGGCTGTGCACTTTGACAAGGGCCAGTCCGTGCCGACAACACCAAACCAGCCACACTTTCCAAACACTCGGCACCAGCGCCATCAACACCACCACCACCGCACAGCCTCCATGGCCGACAGTCAGTTCCCTCTTCTGAGTGTCGCGTGTTGCTGCTTGTTTGCCCTGTGTGTTATCGCCGTGTGCTGCTGCTGTGTCTTGTTGCTGTGTCTCTGAGTCGTTGATGCCTGAAAACCGTCACAACGCGCGCTCGCCACCGTGCTCATTGCACACACACTCGGTTGCGTGCATGTGTGATCTGACGATGGCAGCATCCGGAATTTCCGACGCGTCGCCGCCACACCGATATGGCCATCGCCGCACACTCAGGTGTGTATGTGTATGTGTGTGTGTATGTATATGTACGCGTGCGTTTGTGCACATGCATTGCCATGAGGCGACTCTGTATCTCGCGCCTTGTCGTGACCTTGCATGCACCTTACCCCAACACTTTATCCCACCACCACCACCACCACCACCATGCCTGCAGTGCGGAGTCTGTTGTGAGCAGGACTGCCTCTGGCACGTTTTCGTACGAGAGCTTCAACACTCTCAAGGACCTGGCTGCGCCGACACCTGCTCACATCGATCACGTCTGCTCAAGGAAATGCCACACGGTAGTGTCAAAGCGTGTATGCGTGTTGGTGTGTGTATTTGTGTGTGTGTGCGGTTGTCAGTGCAAGCGGTTGCAATTGATTGCCTGTGCGTGTGTTTCAGAAGCCCCTCATGCACTCATCCTCTCACACACCACCACCACCACCACCACCACCACCACTGCCTCGTCACCATCAGTCCACCGTGTCGTGCATGAGTGTGTTTGGTGACTTTATCATCACGGCAGGTCGAGACGCGTGCATCCGTCTCATTCGCAAGGTATTGACGACTTGAGAACAGTTGTGAAGTTAAATGTGCAAGTTGATGGCCACCTCCCATTCACGCACACACACACACACACACACACACACACACACCTCACACGATGCACGTGCTCGTCATCAGCTTGACTTTGGGCTCTCCGCCACGCTGACGGGCCACACGGGTCCGATTTCATGTCTAACGACATTTTCGGGGCCAACGCGCACGTCAACGCGGGATGTCAGGTGCGCTGGGCAGAGCTGTGTCGTGCTGTTGCCTCACTGCTGTGTTGTGATGAGCACGATTGAGCAGGGGAAAGCCAAATGTCAAAGATGGAGAGACAGCGAGCCGGTGGTGGTGTCCTTTCACGCCCCCTGCTCGTGTTTGCACTTCCGTGCTCCAACCACCTTCTACATACCTTGACCACCTTCCACCGCTCTTGTGTGATTGTGTCCGTCAGTCCGCTGAGCGCCACCATCATCGTTTCCGGCAGCGCCGACGGATCTGTGCGCGTATGGGTAAGAAAACTGCTCTCAAATCGTTCATGCGCTCATGTGTGTGTATGTGTGTGTGTGTGCGCGCGTATGGTCGTCTTTTGTTTTGTTTGTGGTGTTGTGTGCGCACAACCTCTCACGAAACTCATCTGGCCGCCGCTGCTGTTTCTCTCACTGCTGCTTCTCAGGATGTTGCATCTGCGAAGATCGAGACTGTGTTCTCCGGACACGAGGACATGGTGACGCACGTCGGCGCAAACAGGTGCGAGGAAGCATAGAGCGACAGTGACGAGGGATTCATGGGGCGTTGTACGTTTGCGTGTGTGAGTGAGTGAGTGAGTGAGTGAGTGAATTAGTGAGTGAGTGAGTGAGTGAGTGAGTGAGTGAGTGAGTGTGTGTGTGTGTGTGTGTGTGTGCCCTTTTGCTCCTGAGACGCACGAACGATGTGACGCCATATTACCGCCGCTTACTTCCTTCCATCCAACGCTCGTAATCAGCATCCATGTCGTGTCGTTGGGAGATGATGATACACTGCGCATGTGGGACCGAAAGACGCAGTCATGTCTGCGTGTCTTGCAGCCACGTCAGGTTGGTCAAAGGCAAAGACGATGCACTGCTGAATGTACTTGGACGTGTGATGCGTGGCCACTTCGGCTTACTCCCCACATATTCTTACATTCTCTCTGTGTTGTTGCGTTTCGTAGGCACTCCACTCCCTTGTGCTGCATCCGTCCTCCATCCTTGTCACAGGTTCGGTTGGGCAAACACGTGTGCATGCATCTGCACCTGCTTGAATACGCGTGTGTACACCTACACATGCGCTGACACGGTGTTTTGGCCCTGTCTGTGCTTTCTCTAACCCCTCCCCCCACCTCATCGGTTCATCCGTTGCAACCGGCAGTGTCGAATGCGGAGCTGACCGCTTGGGACGTGATGGCATCTGGCGAACGCATTCGCACAATCGCTCTCGACATCGACCCAGCAACATCGACACCAGCAGCTGCACGTGAGTGTGTGTGTGTTTGTGTGTGCGCGTGTGAGTGTGTGTGTGTGAGTGTGTGAGTGTGTGTGTGTGTGTGTGTGTGTGAGTGTGTGAGTGTGTGAGTGTGTGTGTGTGTGCGAGTGTGTGTGTGTGTGTAAATGTACATGCAGCTGTATGCGCGCGCGTGAGTGTGTGTGTGTGTGTGTGTAAATGTACATGCAGCTGTATGCGCGCGCGTGAGTGCGTGTGTGAATTATTGTGAATCAGCCTGTACCCGTTTTACTCATCACACCGCTCGCCAACACCAACACCTCCATTGTCTCATGCCTGCAAGCAGACGAGCCGCCACTCCACGACTCGCACGTGATTGAGTTGATGGCTGATGACACGGTGCTGTGCTCTTTTGGGTCGCGACTGTATGTCGTTCGTCTGCCGTTTCCCACGCTCAGGAAACACAAGGAGCAGTGACGTTGTGGGTATGCGAGACAGTACATGAGACAGTGCATGGGCCGTGAGATGGTGTGAGATGGTGTTGTGAGATGGTGCAGAGGCTAAGCCATGTGTTGGAGTAACTTATGCCACGCACGTGTTGCTCGCCTGCAGCCTCTGCAGCGTGTGACGGTGACGTGGCGGGGGTGTCAGGACAATAAACGAACCGCATAGCGCTGTGTCCGCGAGTGCATGTGGGTGAGTGAGTGCGTGGGTGAGTGAGAGAGTGTGTCTGTGAACTTGAACTTGAGAGAGAGTGTGTGTGTGTGAGTGAGTGTGTGTGTGGATGCTTCGTTCATACCATTTCAGGTGAGTTCTTTTACTCCATCAGCAACAGCAGTGACACAACACAAAACACCACAGCACGCAAGAGCAACGCAACACAACAAAACAACATGAGCAAACTTGCACGTCATCATGCCCACCAGACCACATCATGCTCCGCCTCTCCCCTGTGTCTCAAGCAGACAAAATTTCGTCCAGCTGCTCCACAAAGTCTGCCTTCCGTTTGCCGCGGGGGGCGTGACCTTTGCTCTGGATGGCGGCTTTGAGTTCCGCAACCGTCAGCTTGGACAGGTTTCCTTCGCCGTGCAGTGTCGCCAGTCGCGCCGTGTCGACCTCTGCACTCGCAGTCGTCTTTGCTCGCTTGGCAGTGCCGCCTGTGCCAGCCTGAAAACCACACAGAGGGAGAAAAAGGCAGACGGGGTGCAGGTGAATACCGATACATGGGCGCATGTATGAATACAGACATATAGACACACAGACACAGGCACAGACACACAGACACACATAGTCACCTTGCGCTTGGCGGAGGAAGCCTTGGCGGAGGCGATGCTCTCTGGGTCGTAGCCGGCGGGATAAAGCAACTCGGCAACCTTGCGTGACCGTTCACGCGCCTTGGAGGACAAATCCTCCACATCCACCTCTGCACATATGAGAGAGGAGGCAGTGGAAGAGAGAGTTGAACACACAGTGTACATGAGTGGTGACAATGGTGTGTGCGATGAAGCACGCGCATCTCAACCAACAGCAAAAGGTAGAAGTAGAGCAACAGCCACACGCAGTCACGAACGAAAACGAAACAAAACCCAGCGCCGTGTGTGTGCGTATGCGTGTGTGTGCGCGTGTGTGTGTGTGCGTGTGTGTGTGTGCGTGTGCGTGTGTGTGTGTGCGTGTGTGTGCGTACTTGTGTGGTCTGGCGGATCCTCCGTGATGTCGCGGTTGAGGGCGAGCGCTTCGAGTACAGAGTAGTGCTTCTGCAGCGACGGGTTCTCAAACTTTTCCGACGAGAAACCAGTGAAGTTCATCGACTTGATCAGCTTCTTCATCGCCCCAACTTGCTCCTGCGGCCGCATGTATGCGCGTGCGCGTGTGTTTGCGTGTATGTGTGGTGTTGGGTGAATTGAGGGGGGGGGATGTGGGTTGGACAATGTGCGGTGTCAGAGTGGAGCCCTGGATGAAGGGAGACAAGACAGGGAGAGAAAGGAGAGGAGAGTGATAAAACAGGACAGACAACACACACACAACAGGACACACAACACTCGCACACACACACATACACACAACAGGGCACAAGCACAGTTACCTCTGTTGGCTCTGGTCCCTTCTTCTTCTTGAGGGAGCGCATGTCCTCTGCAAAGGGGAGGGTGATGATGTGGAAGCCAGGCGGCACCACCTGGTTGCCATCCTCATCCACCCGCTCCTCCTGTGGCAGCAGCGCAACAAACTCCGGCGGGCTGTTGGCACGCGGGATGAGGCGGCAGATGGGGACGCGGTCGAGACGAAGGCAGCGGTCAAGAAAGGCCGCAAACACACGCGTGCTCCCGCCAACCAGCTGGTGGTGAGGGGATGAAGGTTGAGAGGGGAATTGAATTCTGATGTGAGGTGAAGTGCAGTGCTATGACATGATACGGAAGTGGTCAAGAATGGAGAACTGCACCCACGCACCCACGCACCCACACGCAAACACGCACGCACGCACCCACACACACACACACACACACACACACACACACACATGATGCACGCACGGATTCGTCGGGGTAGATGAAGCTGGACTTCTTGACGTTGTACTCTTTGTGCAGCGCAGACCGCGGCTTGAACCCAAGCAGCAGCAGCCCTGATGTTTGTTGTGGTGGGGTGTGTGTGTGTGTGAAGAAAGAGGTGCATGCACGTGTGTTTACGGCAGCAGCCACGATTGCTGTGCTTTTCAATGCACACTGCGACCATCAACATGTACCTGGCGAACCGAACGTGCGCATCTGGTCCACTTCCGTCTTGTCAAACACAATCTGCAAACGCAACGATGAGTGCAGGGTAGTGAGGTGAGCAGAGTAGACACACACACACACACACACACACACAAAGAAATGTGTCATGCATGCACCATGCAAACACACACAAAGAAGTGTGCCATGCAAACAAACACACACAAAGAAGTGTGTCATGCATGCACCATGCAAACACACACACACACACACACACACACAAAGAAGTGTGTCGTGTATGCACCATGCAAACAAACATAAGCACAAGCACAACGCACCACAAACACAAACACAACATCACACACGGGCGCAGACCTTTTCGCCGCCGTAGGTGAAAGAGTACTTCATATCTGTGGACAGGAGAGGGGAGCTGGTCTCGCTGCAGAAGAAGCGCGTCTTACTCGTCACTTCCTCGTTGTCCCGCCCGTCAAGCCACGTGTATGACGCTGAACCAACAACACAACAGCAGCAGCACGAGCACGTATGAAATCCAAAACCGCCGCATCAAACATACATTCATACACACGACCATCGTCATCACGCAAACGTATGGCACCGTCATGTGCACGCACCTTTCGTTGCCGAGCCGACGAGGTTGTACACCTTGATGCTGATGAAAAAGTCGTCGCTAATCTGCCATGGAATCGTCATCCGTGCGCGTTTTTTCTGCGCTTTGCACCGCACGCGCGCAAGCAACGATTCAAACCCCTGCGACACCTGTGCCTCCGGCTCGTCATCCTTGTGTGTGTGTGTGTGTGTGTGTGTGTGTGTGTGTGTGTGTGTGTGTGTGTGTGTGTGTGTGTGTGTGTGTGTGTGTGTGTGCGTGCGCGCGTGTGTGTGTGTCAGGTGACGTATCAGCAACCGAACAAGGGAAGCCCGCAAAGCAACTGACGAGGCAAAACGGAACATGCAGCTGCGCAGGCGAGCGAGCAAGCGAGTGAGTGGCAATGCCATGCGGATGTGTGCACTGACAGCGTTGACGACGAGGGGCCGGTAAAAGGCGTCCATGTTGAACTTGGCGGCGTCACTGGACATGTGCATGAGATCAATCTCAATGCCGAGATCCGTCAAATCCCGCGCTTTCGTCTCCAGTTGCCGCTGTAGAGCGATGGGGTAGTGAGCGGGCGGGATGAAGATCGGGTGTGAGAGAGAACAACGAGAGCGCAAGGCAAGGTAGTGTGACAGCAGAGGTACACACACACACACGCACGCACGCGCACACAGGTATGCATTTACACACAGGCATGCAATTTCACACAGGCATGCACACACACACACATACACACACAGACAGACACAGACACAAACACACACACACACACAGACACAGACACAAACACAGACACTCACGCGGAGGTCGTCATCTGTGCTGTGCGGGTTGTCGACGTTGGTGAAGAGGAGAATGCGCTTTGTCTCGACTTTTGTGCGCACGTTGGAAAAGAGGTTGCCGCACGCCCACAGCGCATCGTTGAGCGAGTAGCGGTCGCTGCTGCCAATGTGCTCCGAGAAGTCGTACTCGCCATCTGCCACGATGTTAACGGCATTGGAGTTGATGAGGATGCGGACAGGCGGGGGAGGGGAGAGAGGTGGAGAGGGCAAGGAGGCAGACAAGCACCGGGTAACGATGAGCAGTGACGCAAGACACTTGACACACACACACACACACACACACACACAGACACGGACACAGACAGACAGACACAGACAGACAGACAGACAGACAGACACACACACACACACACACACCTGCGATGCTCTCGAGGAGCTGAATCTGCTCTGCTGATGGAACGTCCAGGTCTTGCAGGATGTACACGTGCTCGGGATCGCTGTCTCCTTTGCGATGCTCCTGTCACATGTGAATGAATGGGAGCAACGCAAAAGAAACGCAAAGACGCGGGTGTGGGCATTCAAACAGAAAGTCCCACCACACCATGCCACCGTCTTCTTCGCACACACACACGCACACACACGCACACACACACGCACGCAACACTGACGGTGGAGAAGAAGACGATGCCCACGAGGTCCTTGTCGGAGCAGACAATCTTGTTGCGGAGGGCGCTGTGCACGGCCTTGACGGCGGTGCTGAAGAAGGTGGAGCCAGCCTCCTCGTCGTCCGTGGGCGGCGTGAACTCGTCAAACATGGGTGGTGAGCAGTCGATCAAGAACAGCACGCAGTCCTTTCCTCCTTTGAACACCTGAACAAGCGCAAGCAACAAAATGAGTGAGTCAGTGCGTGTTGGTGAACGAGGGAGTGTTGGTGAATGAGCGAGTGTTGGTGAATGAGCAAGAGAAAGAGAACGACAACAGAAATCTCAAGCAAAGCACACACCGCGAGCACACGTAAGCACTGATCAAACATCAAACAACACACACCAGCGATTCTGGATCGTCGATGGCGCTGGAGGATCCGCTGAAGGCGCCTTCGTCGTCGTCCATTGAGGCGCCCCATTGCCAAAGCGACAAACCACTCGCACCAGACTGCGACGCGGTCGACCCAAAGGTCGTCGCCGTGCTCGTGCTTCCGCCGCTGCCGCTGCTGAACATGGTGCGATATGCAAGGTGTGACGTGTGGGGTGTGGGGCGGACCAGTTGATAAAGCTGCTGCTCCCGTCGTGGTCAGTGGTTTGTGTGCGCAGACAGAAGAAGAGAACCAAACAAAACACGCCTGAATGCATTTCTTGATGTCGATATCCCCTCTTCAACCGCAACGATGGTTCGTGGTTGTGGGTGTTGGATATGTTGGCTGTGTTGGCTGTGTTGGCTCTGTCGGCGGTGTCGGATCATGCAAACAGCGTCGCTCTTCCCCCTCGCCCTCCTTCAGTTCACGGTGTTCGTCGTCTTCCTCACTCACTCCCTGTCGTCCACCCTCCTTGCTCTCTCCTTTTTGTTTGTTGCAGTCGGCGCTGTTCAACTTCCAGAGCCTGTTGCAAGTCATCTTGCTGCTGATTTGCGCATGCGCGTATGCTCGCGCCTTTGCACCAAAGTTCATGGATGGTCTGCGCAACGGGTGAGTCTGTGGGTGAACGTGTGCGTGGGTGAACGTGTGCGTGTGTGGGTATGTGTGTGCGTGGGTGAACGGGTGAGTGTCTGTGGGTGAACGTGTGCGTGGGTGAACGTGTGTGTGTGTGTGTGAACTCAGCTGCATGAGCCGATCCAAGTCCAACCCAACCACAACTCACTCGCACTCTCGGCGTTCTCTGTGCACTCGACTGTGTTTTGTCATGCTCCTTTCACTGCTCGCTTCTGCCCCCTTTTCCTCCTTCATACATTCCCCTTCCGCTTCTTCAGTCCTGCAAGCTTGCTGTGGAAGTTTGCCAGAATAGGTGAGGAGACACAGAGTAATGACTTGCAGCACATTGTGCTGTTCGCCTCGTATGCAGTGAACACCCCCCCCCCCCACACCCACCCACCCACCCACACACCACACACCACACACACACACACATACACACGCACACATACACACGCACACACACAAGATGCACTGCAGTGCATATCACCGTCTCATCACCTCTGCTCACGCACGTCACGCACGTCATTCACCATCGCAGGGGAACGCGCGAGCGAATACGTGGCGCTGGCGTGTGCGCTCATGGGCGTCGCCATCCTTGTTTGGGGCTGAAAGAGCGCTCATGGCACACGCTCGCCATTTCTTGCCTGCACTCTTGTCCTTGCATGCATTCATCTCTTGTACATTAGCTCTGCGGCGACAGCGCGGCTCGCCGCTCCTTGCTGCTTATCTGTCCATTACCCGTCTGCTGGCATGCATGCGGTGCTGTGATTGTCGCGCACCTCGCACGCTCGCACATACCTCTTTGCACCTTCCTTCTCCCCCCCCTCCTTCTCAACCACAACCAGCACCACCTCCTCCGCTTCTTCTACTCCTTGCTCCGTGTTGTGATTTGTGGTTCAATTGTTGTCGAGTAAACCCGATATCACGCACGACACCAGCAGCTGCCGTTTCAGCCGCAACCGATACATAAGTCGCACACGCACACAATGTTCTGCACAGCTGAACAGCAATGAACAGAAAGAAGGGATCGATAACCGAGCGAGCAAATGCCGCAGCAGTAAGGGCACGCACTCACGCACAATGTACACACGTGCGCATGCACACACGTCCACACGTCCACACGTCCAAGAGAGGTCCCTCCGTCACGCCGCGTGCAATCAGAACTTCTTCTTCTTGAAGCGGCCGTTGCCACCACCGGCTTGTCGCTTCCCGCCACGCTTTGTCCTCGTCTCTGCCTCAATCTCCTTCATCTCCCGCGTGGCGTATCGCGACGCCTCGTCAATCTCCGCATACAGCTCCTTGCACTCCTTGTCGTACTTGCGCACGGGCAAGTCCAAGCCCACGCCAGCCTCAATCTCCTTGAAGTATGGCACGTCATATTGCGTGACAAATGTGACGGCGCGTCCAGACCGCCCGGCGCGAGCCGTTCGCCCAACACGATGCAGATACACCTGCCGTGTCGACATGGTGACATTGGGATGGCGAGCATGGGTGTGAGTGAAGCGTGGGTGTGAGAGCGAGTGTGAGTGTGAGCAAATGAAGCGAGACACCAACAAAATCGCATCATCATCATCATCATCATCATCATCATCATCATCATCATCATCATCATCATCACAAACGGCACAAACGGCACAATGGCACGAATTGCAGTACAGCAGCAGCTGCAGCTGCAACTCACGTCGGACGTCTTTGGGAGATCGTAGTTGATGACGAGCTCGACGCCCTGGATGTCAAGACCACGCGCACCAACATTCGTGCACACCAGCACGCTGCACATCAAACAAACAAACGAACAAACAAACAAACAAACAAACAAAAGAAACAACATGCACACATGCGTGAGCAACAGTGCAGTCAGTTGGACGAGCGGATCACACGTCCAGAACAGCAATACGTCACAATAGCACGTAAGCAACAGGCCGTAAAGCATCAAGCACGTGGCAACATGGCACACACAAATACACACACAGCGCATACACATACACACACACAGCGCATACACATACACACACACACGCAACGCATACACACACGGCGCGACAACTGACTTGTCCTTGTGTGTCTTGAAGCGAGCGAGAGCGCCAATGCGCTTTTCCTGGGACATGTTGCCGTGCAGACACGTGGCCCGCAGCCCGAGTTTGCGCAGCATCAGCACGAGCCTGGCGCCAAGTGACATGGTGCGACACACGCACGACGTGGGTCAATGGACGCAGATGGCAGAGAGAGAGAGAGGGACAATGCACAGACGCAGGACGATAACGCCAACATCACAACTGAGAACAGCAATCATCATCATCATCATTCCAAGTAACGGCAGCACCACCACGACCACCACGACCACCACGACCACCACCCTCCCTCCTCTCCCCTGCCATCACGCCTCGGCAACTGACTTCATGGTTGCGCGCTTTGTTTCGCAGAAGATGATGACGCTGCTATCGGCCTGCAAGCCCTGCCGCTGCAAGAACCACACAAGATATGTCTCCTGCAAACGCGCGCGGTGGGTGGGGGGGGGACAATGAGGGCCTGAGAGGGAGAGACAGAGAGACAGATCTTATTGCGTCTGGGCGTAGTACAACACGCGACTGCTTCCCATTCCTTCAAGTCCCATCTCCCGTTTCTCCCTTACTCTTTCTCCCTTCTCCTCGCTCGTGTGAACAGCACCTTGAACTGCAGCGGAAGAAACACGCAGTGCTGGTCCAGCGTATCCACAGTCTTGACCCTGTCAAGCACAACGACAGCCGCAGGGTGCGTACGGGAACTGTGAGCTGATGACGATCACAGCCTAAATTCAAACCGAACCGAAAGCGGAAACACACAAGCACACAAGCACACAAGCACACGTCGATGAAGCGAGCCGCAACCTCACACACACACACACACACACACACACACACACACACACACACATACACACACACACACACACTCAAACACACGCACTTGTGCTTGATTTTGATGTGGACGGGGTTGCGGAGGACGGCGTGCATGAGGTGTTTCACTTTGTCGTTTGACGTTGCGGAGAAGAGGAAGTTTGTGCGGCGCTTGGGAATGTGCCCAAGGAGCTGGTCAATTTCCCGCTCAAACTCCGGCGTCAGCATCCGGTCTGCCTCGTCGAGAATCTAAAGCGCAATGGAGCCGCGCGGCGCAGTCGTGGGGGCGCGGGATTGGGTGTGTGAGTTGGCGTGCGCTTATGTATGCGTAACTCGGTGTGTGTGTGTGCTTGTGTGTGCTTGTGTGTGCTTGTGTGTTTGCGTGTGCTGTTGTATCTGCTGCGTCCGCACACAAGACACAGACACACAGACAAAGATATGGTTTCCACGACGCATGCGCAGCAATACCGCTGTGCCAGCGACCCACCAGGAACTTGACGTTGTTGAGCTTGAAGCCGTTTGTGCGCTCCAAATGGTGCAGGATACGGCCAGGTGTGGCAATGAGCACGTGCGGGTTCTGACTCAACCGGTCCTGCTGCTGCTGCAGGCTCAGCCCACCAACAAGGAGGGCTGAGGATGGCATGGTTGGAGTGTATATGTGTCAGCTTGTTCGCGGGCCAGCAGATGCACGCACGCACGGTTGCATGCCCGTGGTGCATGTGTATTTGCTAGCATGCACAAGAAAAGTTTGACATGACAGGAAGCAACCCTCGTAGGCCGTGTAACTCCACAAAACAGTGCAGCGAACCGCAACTGCTTCATTCTCTCACCTGTTTTGAGACCGATCGTGGCACCGAGGGCCTTGAACTCGCCCTCAATCTGCTGTGCAAGCTCGCTGTATACACAGCGACAAAAACGCAAGGCGAGGAAGGACGGGCAAATGGCCACAGTCAGCAGCATGCGGCCGTAGAAGCCAGCTACAAGCAACCATTGACACCACAAAGAGGAGCAGGTGCGTGCGCACAGACAGAAAGAGAAGCACACGTGCACTCAGACACACAGAACAGACAAGACACAGACGCACACAGACACACACGCGGACGCAGACCCCCCCCCCACACACACAAGAGCATGTGCACGCATGCATTCTCCCCTCGCTGCCTCACCGGGTTGGCGCCATGACGAGAGCATGGAAGCGGCGTTCGCGTGGGCGCGCGTTGATAAGACTGTGCATGACAGGCAGGGCAAACGCTGCCGTTTTGCCGCTACCCGTCTTGGCAATACCAACAATATCCTTGCCCTCCAGCGCGGGCGGAATGGCAGCCTCCTGCACTGGCGTTGGACGGCGGTAGCCAACGTCCTCACACGCCTGACACAGCACTTCCTCCAAGCCCTGCGAAACAAGCCACGCAACAATTTACATGCGGGACGTGAGCAGTGCGAACAAAGTGTTTGTTCACGTGCGTGTGTTCGTGTGTGTGTGTGTATGTGCGTGTGTGTATGTGTGTGTGTGTGTGTGTGTGTGTGTGTGTGTGTGTGTGTGTGTGTGTCGTCGTACGTACGGTCGTCGTTGG